GTGAGGGGAGAGCAGGGGCAACCATGAGGATGGATCATGGAGGGAGAGGAGGGGTGTCCATGAGGGAAGAGCAGGGGCAGCCATAACTGAAAGTCATGAGGGGAGAGCAGGGGCAGCCATGAGGGGGAACTTGAGGGAAAAGGAGGGGCAGCTGTGCAAGGGGATCGTGAGGGGAGAGCAGGGGTGGCCATGATGGGGGATCGTGAGTGGAGAGCAGGAGGGATCATGAGTAAAGATCATGACGGGAGAGAAGGGACAGCCATGAGGAATGATAATTGCGTTGAGAGTAGGGGCAATCATGAGGCGGTATCGTGGGGGCAGAGGAGGGGCAGCCATGAGGGGGGATCATGAGGGGAGAGCAGGGGCAGCCGTGAAAGGGGATCCTGATAGGAAAGCAGGGTCAGCCACAAGTGAAAATCATGAGGGGAGACAAGGGGCAGCCATGAGGGTGGATCATGAGGGGGGAGCAGTGTCGTGGTTTAAACCCAGCCAGACAGCTTGTGCAGTCACTCCCAGTGAGTGGTGCTGGGCTGGAAGCAATCGAGGCCCACGTCCGTTCCCCCCTCCTTAGGGGCTCCCCCCCTTCCCCCTTCCCAGAGGGATAGGGAGGAGAATCGAAATAATGCAAATCCCACGGGCTGAGATAAGAACAGTCCAGCAACCAATATACAACACAAATCGCCACCACTAACAACGATAAGAGATAATAGCAAGGGAAAAGAGTACAATACCACCCGCCGAACAACGAGTCTGACCCAGCAGGCCCCCTGTCCTTCCGGGTCACCCCCAGTTCCCTCCTGGGCATGACGTGCTATGGTATGGAATACCTCTTTAGTCAGTTTGGGTCAAGTGTCCTGTCTCTGCTTCCTCCCAGCTCCCCCTCCTCTGTGGCAGAGCTCACAAAGTCCTTGGCCAAACCAAAACATCATTTTTATCCGCTTTGTTCCCAAAAGTCAAAACACAGCACTGCACCAGCTACCAAGAAAGAGAAAAAATGACTGCTAGTGCTAAACCCAGGACAAGCAGTCTTGGCCATGAGTGAAAATCATGAGGGGAGAGCAGAGGCAGGCATAAGGGAAGATCATAAGGGAAGATCATGAGGGGAGAACAGGAGCAACCATGAAGGGGGATTGTGAGGGGACATTAGAGACAGCCATGAGGGCTGAGGGGTTATTGTAAGGGAAGAGCAGGGGCGGCCATGAGGGAAGATCATGAGAGGATAGCGTTGATATTGAGGGGCGATTGTGAAGGGGACAGGAGAGGCAGCGGGTTATTGTGAGGGGAAAATGGGGGCAGTCATGAGGGAAGATTATGAGGGAAGAGCAGGGGCAGCTATGAGGGAAGATGGTGATAGGAGAGCAGGGGTGACCTCGAGTGAAAATCGTGAGGGGAGAGGAGCACCAGCCCTGAGGGGTAGGGGCAGCAGTTATATAGTTTGGGCTACTAGGAGGGATGTCTGTGACTGGAGGTCATGAGAGGCAGCCATGAGGGCGATCAGTTTGCCCTTAGTGACATGGCTTAGTGGTGGGATTGGTAGTCATGGGGTAATGGTTGGGCTCCGTGATCTTAATGGTCTTTTACAAGCTGATTCTGTCATTCTATGAGTCTGAATTGGAACAAGGTGGGGCAATGATTAGGCATCAGATAATTCTAGGTGTCCAGTCAGGTAGAGAACTGTTTTTTGAAATACCTGCACAATGATATTAAAGTTTTACTTGATACACTGAAAGAAAAAAACAGAAGATTGATTTTGTTTCTCCATTTGCAGGCAGTTATATGGAAATGTAACTCCAACTCACTTGCTGAAAGCACATACAGCTATCCTTTCTTATTTTTCAAATTTTGCTGTTAGTGAAGATCCAAGTAGAATGAATCTTTTTTTTTTTTTTTAGCAATCTAGAAAAAATAATTATTCAGCTTTTAAAAGGATCTTTTTCATCCCAACTACTTCATTGCTGCCTAAACTAATAAATCCGCAGTCCCTCTTGAGCTTTTAGGAATTGTCCCAGTTTCATTTCACGCAGATGAACTGCCCTGAAGGTTATTTTAAAGCCATTGCAACATCAGGTTCAGACATAATGACACTCTTATCACAGAACATTCTGCATTGACTACAAAATGGGGATATGAACTTAACTTTCACTGTGGCATAAAGATACAATTAATATGTCTTCTAAAGCTCCAGGAGACAGTAAACTTCCTGATACACTGAGCAAAACATATAATTCAGTAACAACTGTTTTTACTAGGCATGGCATCATGTTCCAGACAGCAGCGTATCATAACAACAAAACAATTTAATAAGCAGAGATGCTATGAAACAGAACAAGCTGCAAAAAAGATCTTTTTTTCCTTGTTGGTTCTGTGCCAGTGCCTTATTTTACATTACCACATTTCACCTGAACCCACATTGACCTGTATAACTTGTGTCGCTGCATTACTGTGGATCTCTGGTGAGTACATGAAGCTTGCTTTCTGCTCCATTTCACTACTGTGTTCTCTCAGTTTTCTGAAGGGTAGCGTCATGCTGGGGTCACACAATGAGAAAAGCCTCTGGTGCTGTCCTCAACATCAGAAGTATAACACCCCGTGGGGTACCTCTGGTTCCCGTCACAGCTGCATCCCAACTTGCACACCAAAGCATGCATTCCCTCCTTCTCCACTGGCCTCGTAGTGGGAACATAGCTGGGTGACAGTCATGCCTCAGGTGGACGTGGGTTGCGAAACGGGAGGGTGGTCACTTTACTGTGGTGCCTAACCCTTTGAAGTGTGTGGTGTGTGTCTGTCCCCCCCTTGTATCATAGCTTGAGCAGGGAAATGGGTACGTGAGTTCTCCCTCAGACCCACAGTTTACGTTGGCATAATCCCAGGACAGTAAACAGAACTAAAAGATCAGAGGATGATGTCCATTGTCTTCTGTGTTTCAGAAAAAAATAATGTGGACTGAACGTATTTTCTTTGATCAAGGGGTGATGTTCAGCAATTTTTGGCATTATACCATTATACAGATAAAGAGCAAAGATGACTAACTGGTGATTCAAGTCACAGCATGAGCTGCATGTCACTGATGCTTGTGGCAAATTCCCATTCATAAAGTTCTCCTTTCTAAACTTGCTTTCAGTTATTTTGCAATTTCCTCTTGTGTCCCTTAATACATCTTTGCTTCTGATTTCCCCTACTGGGTCTTAGTGTCATTTACACGAAATACCCTGTGTGTGAACTTTCCTCTCCTTATCTGCATGCTATTTCACAGTGCCCTTTAATTTGCACTGCCCTTCCGATGGCTTTGTAAGATTTGAAGGACAGAACTTTCCAAAGAAGGTGGCAAAAAAATTATATGTTAATGCCATTCCCTAAACTGTGGCTCATAGACGTGAGATCTCACTTAGCCTGCTGCTGCGAATTCGAGACAGCTGCTTCCCCAGCTACAGAGCACGCTCTTAGCATCTCTGATGTTACCTACTCTTCCCTAGTAACCTTATGTTGGTTCAGCCAGCACTTCTGCTACTCACTGTGCTTTTAAGGTGGACTGCATACATTTATTTAGTATGTCATTGTAATTTTCAACAATCATGGCCCTAGCTATGTTGCCCTCGTAGGTCTGTCTGCTAGACAGCACACAACAGTATTTTACAATGTTATGCCATTACTGTAGCTCATTTCTAATGTACTCTATCCTCTTTATAACTGTAACTCAAGGCTGGCTGCAGCTGTTACGTGGATGGAAGGAGAAAGTTGGGAGGAGACGTGGTTAGTCTTCCAGCATGTAATTAGGAGCATATTCTCCCTGGGCTGCTCTGGCTGAACCACCGCTGCCTCCTCAGCAGCCTTTTTCAGTTTCTGACTTGAAACAGAAGTTAGTAATCCAAATCAGAAATGTATTTTCATAGGATAGTTTGTTTCTTAGGACAGTTTCTTTAGTCAGAAATGGCTAAATTACTTGTATGGAGGTAATCTCAAATATACAAAGACTGCAGATACAGTGTCACTATTTTGTCCCCAAATTTTAGATTCAGAGACAGATGCAGAAAACCAAACAGATTCCATTCCATAGAACTTTATGGTACTTTTTTGTTTCTCAGTATTTGCACTAAAGCTGGGTAAAGAGTACATTTTGTTATATCCCTTTAAGTTTTGGTTTTTAAATGAATATAAGTAATTACTCTTCTACACTGAGCTTTCTCAGCTTCCTGAAGAAATTAGAGGAGACCCAAACTAGCCAGTGGTTTGGGTTTGGAGGAGAGTACCTAGGATGTGAAAAACTCTTCTCTGAATTGCTGTATCCGTGGCTGGTCTCTTGGTACCACTGCTTGGAATTGCAACACTTTGTATAGATAATTAAATATCCACTGGGGCAGGCATTTGAGTCTGGATCTGTATTGACTGAATGCCTCAGTTGTTCAGCAGTAGAGCTGGTCCAACTCTCTCAATGTAGCTACTACAGTTTGTAGAAATAGTTAATTATTGATCCAATCACAGAGGCAGGATATTGTTAAGGTATCACACTGTAAATATTCTACATACATTTTACACTTACTCTTTCCACTTCAAAGAGCTAATAGGTAAGTCAGATTCAGCCTCCCCAGATTCTTGTCATACATGTGCTCATCATTACCTGGGCAACTTTGGTGAGCTCGTGGTTTTAATATCCACATTTATAAAATGGGAGTAATAACACATGTGAAGAGACATAACTGAAATATTTGAAACACATCATGAGATGTTTGGTTGATACACAAATACGTCTGCTATAACCATCAAAGCTTTGGTAATATTTTTTGAATAACAAGATTTTTTTGTAGACTGATACTGACCTTAAATTCCTGTGAATGCACTTATGTCATCATTGGTTTCTATGCATACTTAAAAGTCAGATGTCAAGAACCGGTGCTGAAATAGTTAAGAAAGAAAAGCAGAATAAATTTGAGCACAGTAAGTGTGACTTGAATGTCTTATTTTGAAAAGAGCAGCTGCCTCAGCCCTATCCTGATAGCTTCCAGCCAGTCTGGAGAGCTTGGACAAGATAAGTCCTGCCTTGAAGGCACAAGAGAGCCTCCCGGGAGCTGCATGCAAAACAAGGACAAGGTGAGGCATACCCAGTGCTAGGTACCATAGACTACTTCATCTCCCTGTGTCAGAAATATTTGAAAGTGTGAGGAGGTTCTGGGTTTTTTAAAAATTATATTTATTAGCATATGATACAATCTCAGTTCCCCTGGCAGCCTCTCCTATTATCCAAAAACCATCAGAAATACACGACACCTGCTGTGGCATTATTCCCCAAGCAAGGAAGGGGGAAGGACTTCTGAGGAAAACAAGGCAAATAATTTGGGCCTGCGGGATCTGCAGTTTGGGAATGTCAGTCAAGCTTACTATTTCTCTTCTTCGGAGAGAAAAATGTTCTTCTCCTGTTTCCCAGGAAGGAACAGCTGCGAGAACTGAAAGTATCTGCATCAATTTTCCTAAGTAAACACGGGAATATTTAGTTTCAGCAAAACCAGATGGTTTATGCCTTGTGAATATGCTGGCATTTGACACCAGCAGCCAGAGTTTCACAAAATGTGTACAGAGCATTAGAAAGAACGCCTTTAAACTCAGGGACCCAACACAAGAGATGAAAGTTATGAAGGTTTTAGTAATAATAGGCTGACAAAAAAAAAAACCAACCACCTTTATCTAGGGATCTCCAAGTGCTGTCTAAATATTATTAATCAGACTGCATAACAGTCCATGAAGTAATTAAATTTTGATACACATTTCTCACAGAGGATTATGTTAAAGATGAGAAGGTAAGTTAGTTCCTCCGGGTTATGCAGTGAGTCACAGCCTGGTCTCATGAGTGCTCTGACCATCCACATGTCTCTTTGCTTGCTAATGCATCTTTAGTGTGCTGTGTCCTCAGCCATATTCCCAGGACACAATTTTTAAACGTGAAACCAGTACTGTTAATAGCACAGGGACAGGATTGTGGTGTATGCAACATGCATGGCCATCACTGGGGCATCTGAGTGCTTTATGGGGAGTTTATAATATTCACACTGAAGAGATTTGTGAACAGCCCTCAAACGTCTTGCTAATGGCATTTGCAATGGGTGTTAAGTGTCTGAAGATGCCTGTTTGGTGATTTTTATTGATTTGTGGTGTTATTGCTTAACATAACTCTGTAGTAACAAGGCATCTATTTTCTACCAATCTGAAAGAGGTTTTCAATCACTCAGTAATTAACCTAAGCAATTCTGATAGGTATACTGTTTTGTTGAACTGCTGGGAGGCTGATGTGGTTTGCTCAAGATTACTCAGGGCTTGCAGAGCACGGCTATGAGGACTTTAGGCCTTGTGGTCACTGACGACTGCAGCACATGTTCCTGAGCCAAATCCAACCCTGCTGAATCCTCATCATCTGCTGCATGTAAAAATAGGCTTGGGAAGGATTTCTTTTTACTTGTAATTTCAGAATGAGCCTGCCCACAGAAGCACATCAGTTTTCTGGATCACTTAGTGAAATGTATATTTATTGTGAATCACTAGGTTCTGCCTTTAAGCCCTACACCTCTGAACCCTGAAGTACATCCTGGTTGCAGCACACAACAGAAGTCAGAAGAAGTCTCCTTGGGTCTTGGGTGTCTCCTTCAGTTTCCAGGAGAGAAGCTGGCTTGTGCTCTGGCTTATCCTATTGTCTGCATGAGGGAGGGTGCGCCACTGGGCACACCTCCCCTGCAGCAGAGGCAATGCTATAATTTAATATACTTCATGATCAGCACTTTGTTTGAATTTGCTATTTCTCCATTATGTAATTACATAATAGTAATAATAACTAACACAATGTACGTGGAGTTTGGCTGTTGCTTGTTATGTAAATTAGAGATATTTAGCAATATCTTACAAAATGGATACATGTATTTCAGAGTGAGATGTAAGAGGTTACTTGGATTCAGAAAAGAATAAAAAGGAGCTATTGGGAATTGTTATTTTATAAAGAAAGAACTAGTTATAACTCTTCGTCTCATGGGGCATTCACTAGCATTCAGACTACAAGGCTTCAAGGTGTTTAAATTAAAACAAACAAGCAAGCAAACCCATCCCACAGTATTCTCTGCCTTTTTAGAGAAATTCAGATACTTAACTTAGATTCCAAACGTGAAATGTGAGGAATTTGAGCCTGAATTTAGATAAAGTAACATGAATCACTAACAAAACATGGAAGAAATCACTAATCTTTAGGTACAAAAGTACATTTTAGTTGTTAGCCTGCTCATAAGAAGCAGATACTCTCTATATTTAAAGTATGCTCCAGAAGAATTGAAAGGAAATTTAAGGTCAAATTTAGATACCAAAACGTGTCAGATACAATTTGATTCAAGTCAAGGAAACACATGCTGCTCATCTCTGTTAACTTATGTGGTATTTTTATTACCTATGTAATCTGATTTATCCTCGTTGTTCCAAAAATAGTTCATCTGCATACATTACAGCTCAGAAGAGTAGGAGTTGGGAGAGACCACATCACTGTAGACTAGTAGCAATGGGTCACACTGACAGGTTTAAGCTTCAAGTCAGCAAATCCTACTTACTCTGAAAGCCTGGGTGGGCTTGGCTAAGAGGAGGCCATTAGCTGTTGTACATGGAGTCTAGGGGGTGTATACTGTGGCCCCCCAAAAGCATATCCCAAGTCTGTGGAAACACATATGACCAGAGCTGGCTACACAACACTTTCTTGGTGGTCTCAACACCAGTTGAAGGTGTTCTCTCCGAGCTCCCCCTCTCCCTCCCCGCAGTGACTTGCCATCCCTGCAGTTGTGCTGTTGTGTTTGTGTGACTGCACTGCAAGCCAGATGTCTACAGTGGTTCAGATGAATAAGAAGCCCGTCTGGCTCTTCTGGAAGTACTAGCTTTAACCCATGTTGCTTTGAGTGAGCTGGTGTATAGCACATCTCCCAGTGTGTCTCAGCTCAGCTGAGAAGATTGATGATCGTTGTATGAGGATGAAACTAGCAGTGGCAAACCATGGAGGGGGACTGGCTGAAGAGCCTCCCAGAGCGATGGTGTGGTGTAGCTGTATCTGGCAGAAGGCTAGGGGAGAGGTTGCAGCCCTGAGCTGCTCCTTTTGCATGCTACTGAGTCATTGCAGAACTTCAGATAAGCTTTGTGTGCCTCAGCCTGCCATCTGCAAATCAGTGATAACAAAATTTAAATAATTCAGAAGAGCATTGTGAGCCTTAATGAGGTTTGTGATATGTTTTGGACTCCTTACATGCGGCAGTAGTGCAGAGTTTAAGGTATTGTAGTTACGGAGCACGTTGCTAGTAGTGCTGTCTTCCTTTAATATTCTCTGCAAACTCCCTCTCTTCCTACTTTCATTATCAATGATTGGCTTTGGTGTCATTGTGTTGCTTGGACACCTTCTAATTTAAATTTCATATTTTGGTTCCTGGGTGATAACTTCAAACACCAATTTTCTTCTGCTATGCTATACAGCCTTTTTCTCATTTTAATGAAACCTAGCAACCATAATGTAAATTGGGAATAACTACAGCCCATTAGACTATTGAAATCCCTGAAGATTTGAATTATTCACTATTAACAGAACTTGTATAATTATAGGTTAAGATATCACTTAGGCATTTAGCATACATCAGCTCCACTGTTAATTTTTAGCTCTTGATCTGTATTAGTAACCTCAGCTTGCTAAATTAAAGGATATGCCTCCAATTAGCCTAAATTTAACATTCAAGAACACATCTCTGGTGGGATGATGCTTATAAGTTTAGAACATCCAGGCAATTTCAGCTCAGCTACTGAGGCTCTATCACAAGTGAAACAGAAAACATTTTTTTATAAACACTTCCATGACTTTCACAGGGGCAGAGCAAAAGGACAAAGCTGCATTTTGTGTGAGGCCCAAAGCCAAAAGGATGACAGGCGCTATGGTCCTCCTCCCCTCTAGGGATCCCCAGAAAGCCTGTACCTAGGGCAGAGGCAGTCAGGTCATTGAATGAGACCCCCAGAAACAAAAACACTGAGTCTGGAGCTGTCTGATTCAGGGAACAAGAAAATACTGAGATACATATCGAAAAACAGGAAAAGAGAGTGCTGATGTAGTTAGAAAAAAAACCAAACCAAAACACCAAACAACCACCACACCAAACAACAAACCAACAAGAAGACCTTATTTCCCTAAGGACCTTGCCTGTGTTTAACATAGCAGGGGTAGGACACTTCTGCCTGTACACAGTACATGTTAGCCACATACCTTTTGTCTTTTTATTCTGACAGCAGCAAGCTTACTTTCTGTTTGCTAAAGTATAAATTAGCTCTTCTGTTTTCTCTTCTACTCCACCAGGAAGGAAAGATTCCTGGTAATCATATGTGTATTTTCCATACCTTTAAGACCTACTTTAAATTATTAGCTTGCTCTGCATAATCCTATGCAATGATACTTCCACTTGTGGCAAGCCTTTTTAAAGTATGTTAACTAGGAAATGGCATAGGCTTTTGTGCAGATGATTATGAGCCTGTTTGTATATGCTGGTCAAAAGTTGGACTGTAATCTTAAAGGTCTTCAGTCTTGGACAGCACTCAGAAAAGATACACCTTTTGACAGTGTCTTCTCATATGTGCATAAATGCAATAAGTAACTTTCGGTGAACATCAGTGAGCTTGTTAATGGAGAGAAATGCACTACTCTTGGTAGCTGTATAATTGTGTCATAATTCCAAAAAAATGGTTGCTAATATTGAGGAGTGTCTCCATAGGAAAGCTTTGGGTGGTACGAAATCCTCTTGCTGGGAAATCTTCTTATAAACTTATAATGGCAACCATTACAGAGCAGGGGGAAAGCACTTAACTGGAAAATGCTATTAAAGTTGTAGTAGAATCCAAATTATTCAAAGATTATTCATGTCTCTCATACAGCAAAACTTGTCGTGAAGTATGGTTTTTACTGGAAACAATTGGAATTGAAAGATTATACTACTAATACCTGCTGAAAAAGAAAAAAGAACATTTTTAGCTGACAGCACACTGAGGATTTTACCAGTTTTCTTTCAGCTAGGAGATGGAGATTTATCATATAAAACTTTTTGTCATCTAAAGCAGTCACTTTAGTGTATATATAGTTACAGTTAGACCTCCAAAAATAGGTAGGTGCCTCAGTCATAAATAGTTCCTTCTGGAAATGCCAGATTCCACAACTGTGATGTCCACAGTCACCCTGTCAGCAGCCTCTGAGTGAAGTCTTTGACCCATAAATCTCAAATTCATTGCATTCTCCATGTTCTTGCAGTCCTGTTTCTAAGCATGACCAGGGGTAGCTCAGCATGGGCAGTGCTGATACCTCAACATCTTTGTTTCATGAGGTTCCACGAACATATTGTTCCCTTATCTGTATTGCTTGTCCTTGTTACCAGGATTATTTGTGTTCTATATAGAGAAGATACCATCTAATATAAAGTCCAGTAATAGCTCTGAGAGTAAGGACCAACGTTTAGGTGCCCTACTGCACAGCACATTGCCCTGACCTCTTGTCTAAGCCCCACGACTCTGGCAGCCAAGTGCCTACAGGTTAACTTCATTAGCAGGAGGAAATGTTTCCTTCTTTCTCAGACCATGCCATCGGTTGGGGATTACAGCATACCCTGGGGAGCGCCGTATATCTTGAACCCAAATCCCATTTCCTGGGTGTACCCTTTAGCTGATAGGTCATTCTACAAAATTGGCCATCACCACCACAGCTTTGTTTTAAAAAGTCCTCCTGCTAAATATTTAGCTAAGGAGAGGAGGTGATAACCAGCATGCAAAAGGAGCAAGTCCCCCAGCCTCCTGAGCAGGACAAGAATTCAGCAAGGTGAGGGGTATCTGACTTAAGCTGTCCCTGTTCTGAGCTGGGAGGATTGGACCCCATGAACCTAAATGGCTCTTTGTACACCTCTGCATAGTACTACCTACAGACTAACTCACTGCAGCTCCCTGGGATTTTCCTGAAATTTATTGAATTTATACATACATGAGAGGACACTGTCAAAAGGTGTATCTATCTCAGACTAAAAACCTTTAAGATTAAAGCATGTGGGATTTTTCATCACTCTTTGTAAGATTCTTGTTTTACTCCTTGATTGCAGGGGAAGTCTGAGCACCTGCCTGGAGTGCTTTCAGTTACTCCACATGGGCAGGGACCTGCTTCTCAGCCCTTGCAACACCTCAGTAGAGCTGCATAAGCAGGCAATCCAGCCTCATCCTCTGCCTCTTCTTGTGTGGGTTTATCTCTGAATCCTTGCAGATTTCTCTTTAAAGCTGTCAAATATTTAAGGAGTTTGGATTTCTCTCATCTGCGCTGGAATTTTACCTTTAATTACTTAGAACAAGGACTTTTCCTACTCTAATTAAACACCTTTTGCCTTAAGTGTTGACTATCTGTGTCTTGGCATGATCATTTACTTTAAAGATTTTAAAAGCATTTTCCCTTGCAGGCTTCAGGTAACTTGCTAGTGACAACATTCATGCATTTAGTTCTTTTCTCTCATTAAGCCTGTGGATTTCCAAAGTATGTCTGGAACATGATCTTACAGTTTTCTCCCTCTTTCCTCCTTCCCTTTCAACCCAAATACAAGAGAAAGTACAAAATACAAAACCAAAATGTTTTCCCTTGTCTGACTTGGATTTTTTTGGGTGGCAGAAGAGCGGAAGGGGTGAGCACAGAGTTCATTAAAATCACGATAGCAGCAGTCAGAAGTAGAACAGGCAGGTACAGTACTGCCCAGCTGCTGTAATCTTTTACATTAGACCTTCTGCTCAGCCTTACTAGGTACATCTGTGCTGTGAGGTGGAAGAATGAGCCAAGCTATTAACAACTCAAGTTGCTAAGGCTTCCTCACACAGCATCACATTGTGAAGGAGAAGCTTCTCTGTGTAGAGCGTGGCATACCTGCTGCCCAGTTAGCATCTCACACTGTTTCCTTAAATCCTTTTGTCCCAGGGGCATCCATACACTGATTAGTAAGGAGGTTAGAGCTGGCACAAGTTACGTGAGGAAGTGTGAGAGAAGTCATACGAATGTGTCCATAAAAGTAGGACAAGGACTAATTTTTTGCTTGTTTTCCAGGGCATTGCTTTTCTCATTACACCACCGCTAGTGGGTGAATTGCATCAGTGCAGTCTCTCTAAAGGAGAAGGCCTGATCCTCCCTCTCCAATGGGTGTCCTGCTGCTGACTTCTAAACTGGGTGAGAGTGAGACCCAGTGTGTGGCTGGGGAAGGGGAGGCTTTGGAAGACAAATTATAGTTTGTTACGTGATTAGAAGACATACTGACTTAAATAAGCACCCAGCTCCTGTTTACACTTGGAAGTATTGTCATGCTGGTGTAGTTATGCCAGTAAACTCCTCCTACATAATTGGAGTGCTTTTTGCCTGCAAAATGCATTCCAGTTTGGCAAGCAGTATAAGCCATAACATCAAACCCACCATTTTTGCTGGTATAATTGTGTCTACGCTAGGGCTTTTGTTGAAGTAGTTCTGTCATATAAATCACCCTACACAGCATAAACCCTTCAAGTGCAAACTGAAATCTTAAACCTTGTCTGCCCAGCCAGATGTTACTGTGCTTTAATACAGTTATGGAAAACCAAGGTAGATTTGTCAGAATGTGCTGACCACAACTAAATAGTCAGCAGAGACAAAGTAAAGTCCCATTCAGGATTGTATTAACTAACCATGTATTCAGTGTGGTATAATCTCATTTGGTTTTTGCATAGCTGTGGTTGAACAGGGACCTTTTAACTTGCCTTAAACTATATCATATATTAATAGGGCCAGGGTGAAATTTACTCTATTTCAGCTTATTTTTCTCTAGCTTTACTGACATGTTTCTTCCAATGTACATTACTTTGCTTGTCACCTCAGTTAAATGCATTAATTTTTCCTTTTAGGCTTTTCATGTTTGTTTGGTTTTGATACCATGAACTGCAAACATATCTAAGATACAAATGAGAAAGAAATGCCTGCCACTTTGATGGATACCCCTCTGGATCTCCAAATACAGACTCCCTAAAATTTTGGGAATAATTTAAAGTATTTGCAAGCATTAACATAGTAGATTATCAATACAAATGACAATAATGTATCTTCTTAGCCAAGTATCAATTTCTAAGGGATGTCATTAGGCACACTTAGATTAGTTGTCCCCAGCAGACCATAATTCAGTCTTGCGTTTCTAATAGTCTGCTGCATTTTAATTGTTTTTCTTCCTCATGAGTGTTGCTAGGTTTCCTCAAAAATGCAAATGCAGCCCTTCAGGAAACAATGACACAAGTTTTTATTATCGGCAAGGCTAGGACCTGAAGAAGTCAGAGAAGGTTGTTTGCGAGATCACATGGAAAAACATTACTATCTTACAGATACAGTGCAATTATCACTCACTGCAAGTACGAAGTTCATCCTCCAGTAATGCACTGGAACCGGGTTTATCCTGGAATCAGTCACTGTTACCGAATTCAGAGGAAGTAGACTTAGGCCTATACTAAATAAAGGAGAAACCTCATTTATCTCTGAGATACAACTAATTCTGCAGTGTGATGTGGACTTGCTCAACCAGCTTGGCCTACTTTACACATTTTGAGAACGTCCATGATGATGTTTAAGTACTAGCTAACAGTGTGATAGCTGAACAGTTTGTTAGCGACAGCCAAAGCAATAAATGAAGAACACTATGTCCTGGTGATACCAGTAGCAAATGTGACTAGACAATGTAATTACCCAAGCTGGAATTAAATCAGGGCATTGTACTCTTGTTACAGATAATACCAGGGGATATCTCCTTGCCACAGATAGGGTTTGCACCTCATCTCATTTAGGTACCATTGCTCAGGATGTGTTTTTACAGTCCCTTGCAGAGTCTGTCATGTTACTGTGATCTCTGTAGGACTTTACAGGAAAATAATCCTTTGAGAGATCACTGCAACCAGTGCTGAAAGCTACAAAAAGGACAAACTTAAAGGATAAACCAGGGACCAGGTCTGCAGTGGAGCCTTGGCATGTGCTTTTGATCATGGGATACACAGTAGATGCAGTGGCTGAGCTTTGCAGAGACCAGACACTTTGGTATATCATCGTATTGTTTTTTGTTTACAAAACCAGTAAAGGACTAGCGGCTGCTATTTCACTTCAGGCCACAGAGGCTCATATTGAAACAACAAAATTACTGCTTCACAACTCAAGCAAGAAGACCCAAGAGCATTTTTCTGAAAACAAACAAGAGTGATGCAAATGCAATTTTAATGCTGGCACGCAACCTGCATGTGTACTGCACCCATTACTTTTGCTTTGGTGTTAGTCTGAAATCACAATATTTATAACCCTACATAGCTGTTTAAGGTCAATTCTGCTAGGCTAACAGTAAAGTTTTCTCTAACCATCTATTTACCATCTATCAGTGTCATCACTATCACCACAGGAGAATATCATCTCCTCTTTGCTCCAAATGTTTGTTGTTGTCCTCTGCAGCACTGATTTCCCAGTAGAGATAATAATAAATAACACCCATAGCAGTTATATAATGCACCTGCAATTTTCAAAGAGAAGACAAAAAGAATGATGCCTGTGAAAAGCAGAAACTTTTTTCTTCAAAGAATATTTTGTGTAGTTTTGGTAAATAGCCTTAAAAAGTATAACTGAGGTGAAGAAGTGGGAACTAGGCAATTCAAAAGACTTATTGGTGCTTGTGTATCCTTTACCTCCAGGCTATGGCACAAGCCTAGACCAGGTGAGTAGTGACAAAGTTGTTGCCTGACAGCCAGGAGGAGGAAAGTTGGTGGTGCTCCCCACTCAGGCTTTTCATGAACTGCTGACCACTATACAAGGACCCAAGACTGAACAATGTATGAGATTAATCATCTCTTTCAACTCTGATCTGGGAATAAACCCTTTTGATCAGGGTGGGGAAGCAATTGCCCTGCATGGGAAGCCAGTCTCGCTATTGCCCAATC